ATATGGATTCAGAGAAGGAATGGTCACTTCCAGTTGTAATGACCAAAGAAAACTTTATAGAGGAAATAGAGTCATGGGTCTCAATAGAAGCAAGTACTCCAGTGGGTGGAATTAATGGAGAGCAGGAAAGAGAGAGAGGAACAATGTGAACAAAAACAAAGAGCTGGGGAAAGGCAGAGTATTTAAGGGAAATAAAAAATAGATAATAAAGATCCTATGGTAAGATTAGTGATAGTCATCCTGGAAAATCAGGTGAGACTAAATTTTAGAGAAACTCCATCTAAGTTATAGAACTTTGTATTATATACTGTTGAATTAGATCTACTGACACCCTGAGAATGAATTTGAAGAAAGAACCTGACAGAAATATGTGTATGGTAGAGTCTGAACTAAAACAGAAGCTGTAATGGAGTGGAAATAAAAGGTGGGTTATTTTTTCAAAGGAAGGCATGATAGGAGCAGGGGCTATCCATGAAATTGTAGAGGAAGAAGTTAAAGAAGACTGTGGTTTTGAATTTGGATGGATGGGAGAAGAGCAGTATAAGTAAAGAAAATAACCTTACAGATTGAAGGTGAATATAATTTTGAATATATTGCATTTGAGATGACAAAAAGATTTCCAGATGAAGGTATCTAATAGACTTTTGGAAATGTGATACTAAATAAAGTTGATGATTGGAAACTCTTGGAGTAGATGAATTTCCTAAAGAAAAAAAAAATGAAGACAGAAGAGTATAATGTCAAAGAGAGAACTTTAATGTCCAAGTTAGGGAATGGGAATGACATAGATAGATATCAGAGGTGGGCAATCAACAGTAGAGGCTTCTAGAAGTGGAGAATGTGGATATTCTTACCTTGTTCCTAGGATTTACTTATCCCAAGTTTAGAGGGGGAAGAATTCAGTCTTTCATCATTAAGTATGATGCTAGCTGTAAGGTTTTTATAAATGCCCTGTAGAAGTTTAAGGGCATCTATAAGTTTAAACTACCTTCTATTGGTAGTTTACTGAGAGATTTAATCATGGATGAATGTTTCAAATGGCTTTTCTGCATTATCAAAATGATCATACGGTTTTCTTTTTTAGACTTTTGATACAATGAATTGCATTGATTAATTTTCTAATGTTGAACCAACTCTGCATGGTCATGATATAGTATCTTTTTTTTTTTTTTTTACATATAACTGTTTGCTAATATACATTTTTTAAAAAAATGTGTAGGTAGGCTCATGAAAGAAAGTGATCTGTAAATTTTCTTATAACACCTTTGTTCTGGTATCAGGGTAATGCTAGCATCAAAAATTGAGTTGGGAAGTGCCCTTTCCTTTTTATTTCCTAAAAGAGTTTGTGAAGGATTGACATTATCTCTTCCTTAAATAATAATTGGTTAAAATATAAAGTAAAAGCACTTTGGCTTAGAATGTTCTTTATAGGCAGGTTTTTTACCCATGAGTAGATTATAGGACTATTTAAATGTATCTCTTTTTCTGACTAAGTTGCTGGTTTGCGTCTTTTGCTGAGTTTATCTGTTTCTCATCTAAATTATCCAAGTTTTATGTATCAAGGTGTGCATAATATTATTAACTTTTTAATGTATGTAGGATCTTTTTTAATGTTTCTTTTTCATTTACATATATTTGTTTTCTAGTTTTCCCATCTACTCCTTGTTTTCATTTTCTCTATTTGGGATTTCTTTTCTTCTTCTTATTTTTTAAAATATATTTTTATTGATTTCAGAGAGAAAGGTAGAAACATCAATGAGAGCAAATCATTGATCATCTCCCTCCTGCAGGCCCCACACTGGGGACCAAGTCCACAACCTGGGCATACGCCCTTATTATTGGGAATTGAACCGTGACCTCCTGGTTCATAGGTTCTTTGTCAACCACTGAACCACGTCAGTTGGACAGGATTTCATTTAGATTAAGTATGTTTTATGATTTCATAAAGTAGATATTAGGATAGAAAGAAGGCACGCTGTGTGTTCTCACTGAAATTCTCTCAATAAAATGAGATATATGATCATAAACTTAGGGTGGGGAAGTGTTGGTATCTTGTATAGAGAAGGTTTATGATATTTGTCTTGGGCGGTTTCATGAGAAAACAGCAAGAGAGTAACATGGATTTCCACATTAATAAGGGCCCGCTGAAGTAGATATGTAACTAATAATAATAGGTAGACAGCTAATCTGAAGATATGTTTCCAAATAAGCCTTAAATTTTGAAAAATGGGAACAAAATTGTAATGGAATGTATTGTATTTCAGTTTTAGTGTTAATCAAATCCATTCATGTTTTCCCTCATGAAGGTTGGAGATATTAGCTCTTTTAGACAATCACATGTTTCCAGGATCTGGGATCTTGATATAATTGGCAGCTGTCTTTTCTATATATTGAACATTTATAAAAAATATAAACTTAGCAGTTTACACAGGGCAGATGAACCATAGGATTTTTAGTGAGACCTGAGGGAAGTTTCTTCCATTTTCTTTCTTAGATTTAGGTTATCTGAAAAGCCAGAAAAAGTAGAATAGCTGAAAGGAATTGGTATTGGTGAATGGAAATAGAACAAATGGAGAACTGGCAAGCCAGCTGGATAGTTAGAGAGACTAATGGTTTTAGAAACATGTTTGTAAGACTAGGGTAATTATTCTACTCTTTGAGCTGATTACATTTTGTACTGTATTCTCTTTGTTTGCAAAACTGTGATTGCTTGATTCATGTAATGAAATGTGAGCTTAGTATAAAGCACAGTTCATTTATCTAAATTCCCTGTTGCCTATTGACAATGTTGTTTCATTTACATATTGAAAATCTGTGTAATTAAAATTGGGAAAAATCACAGTTTTATAGGAATATTTCATTTGAATTACTTTCACAGTTACAACTAGTTCTCAAAATATATATATATATATTTTACAAACCCCAACTTTAACAGTAGGAAAAGTAAGATTTTATGTGAAAAACCTGATGTATGCATTTTTTTTCATAAAAAAATTAACTAAGTCATACTTTTCCTAAAGTGGTTACTACAGTTAGAGCAGGCTGCCTGCATCCTGGGCAAGATGCTTACCTCTTTGTGCTTTATTATCTTTCTTTGTGAAATAGAGTTTTTTATTATATACTTGATATGAAGATTAAATGAGTTAATACATGGAAAATGCTTATAATCTTACTCTTTTCACTTAAAAAAAATTTTTTAAATTGATTTTATACAGAGAGGAAGGGAGAGAGATAGAGAGTTAGAAACATCAATGAGAGAGAGTCATCGATCAGCTGCCTCTTGCACACTCCCTACTGGGGATATGCCCGCAACCAAGGTACATGCCCTCGACCGGAATCGAAACCGAGACCCCTCAGTCCCCAAGCCGACGCTCTATCCATTGAGCCAAACCGGTCCCGGCACATGGAAAATGCTTAAAGTGGGCTTAGGGCATAGTATGGTCTCAATAAATTATAGTTGTTACTAGAGTGAAAAAATTAGGCTCTGAGCATTGCCAATAATGTGGGGTTTGAACAATGTCTAGATCTGGGATCCTGGATGTCAAATTTACACACACTTAATATGAAGGTACTAGGGATAAAAGTTCAAAAATGTTATCCATTTGAGTATGACATTTGTTGATGGTTTAAGGTGTGTTTTTTTCTTGTATACTGTATCTTCTCTCCCAAACATAGCAATCGTTTCTTCAAATGTAATTTTAGTGTTCATAAAGGTTAGTATAATTTTGTTTTAGTATGTATATTCTAAAAAAAATTCTTTGTGATTTACCAAAAGTAAAGAATCATTCTGTACTGAAAAACCATAATAGTTAAGGCAAAATTTGTGTCTATTAGTGATGAAAATTAACAACATGATCTTTATAACTCTCAATATAGTAAGCTAAGGGTAAAAGACATAGGGAAATATTTTGAAAAAATTACAATTTCCTTCAGGAAGGGAATGTCATTAAGTGAGCTAACTGTGGTAGCATTCACCCCCCCATATGCTATTTCATTTATTTATCTTTCAAAATCCATAAAGCAGGGTATATTCTATATTATCCCCATTTTACTAATGTTAGAATAAAAGGGGAGGGCTGGGGTCAACTCCTAGCCATTTGTTTTCAAAGTTCATGCCCTCTCTGATGCATCTGTCTGCCTCCTGGAAGTGAACTGTATACCACTTAAGAAGTTTAGTACAGAAGTTACAGCTGATCCACAAAAACAAAACGTCCCTAGTTTTTCAATATCTTATAATTCATCTAGTTTCTTTCCTTACTTTTTATTATATTTCATTTTAATAAGCATATACCGTTAAAGCTCATACTAAAACACTGTAAGGATGGGTCTCGTTGCTTAAGTGCAGAAGGGACACTCCATCCAGGAAAATAGTGGGGTTAGTTCTTGCTTTGCCAAGAACTAGTTATTTCACTTTGAGGCAAACAATTTCACACTTAGTGATCTCAAATGTTCCATCTCTTTTGATGCTTTATGGTATTATACATCCACACTGTCTTTTCCTGAAGGTCCAGAAGCTGAAAATGGGCCAATTTCCAGGGGAATTGATTCTCTTAACTGGGATCCCGCAGACCCTTAGAAAATTCCAGGGCTTAGAAAATGACTAGAGATACAGGTTTATGTACTAAGCAAACTCAGAATCATATATATATAATATATAATATACAATATACAATATACAATATACAATATACAATATACAATATACAATATACAATATACAATATACAATATACAATATACAATATATAATATATAATATATAATATATAATATATAATATATAATATATAATATATAATAATATATATAATATATAATATATATATTTCATATATAGTAATATCACAGGAAGGTCACGGGTATCCTGCCACCCGTGAGGAGTAAGCCCAGGTTGCTGTTGGATGTGTTCACAGAATCAGGTTTTTTAAGGTCCTCTTAATCTAAACTCATTTCCTTCTGAATTTAGGATATACTGACTCTCCCCCCATATTTTTCTACAGGATTATTTTACAAATGAAAATAGAGAATTGAAAAAAGATGCACAACAAGATTACCATCTAGACTATGCCATGGAAAATAGCACACACACAGTCATCGAATTTACCAGAGAACTGCATACATGTGACGTCAATGACAGGACAATAACGGTAAGGAATGCATGCATGAATAAATCACACAGTTACAGTTGTAAAACCCTTTACAGAATTAAAGGAACAAATATTTAAAAATTATATTTGATAACAAAGTCACATAGTCTTTGAGGAAATGTTCTTGAATTCTCTTTCTAAGCCACAAAAAAAATCTAAGATTATAAATATCAATAAAGGCAATTTTTGTGTGAATTGCACTTTGAAGAGATATATAAAGAGTGTATTGACTTTTCAAAAGAGTTTTTGCTTTGAAAATAGACAATAGATAAAGATTCTGAGAAATACATTACAGGAGAGAGAAGTATGATCCTGAATATAATTCCTCTGATTTGTAACTGGTTCATCTTAGTAAACTTCTAAAGTTAAAATAAATAGTAAAGTGATTAAAATTGTCTATCAACATATTATACCAGATTTCTTATTGGCAGACCTCATGCAAAAAAGTAATATGCCTATGAGAGGAAAAACTCTGACCTGGAAAATAATTTTAATTTCCATTCTACTTATTTATTTTCCCTAAAATGTCTGTGGCATCAAAGCAGATTTCAATTTTCTAAAATCTCTGCTGGTTAACAAGAATTTTTGCTGGGTAACTACCAGTTGCTGGTTTGGAGGTTTAGCATGACAATGATTTGTTGTTTTTTGAATGCCTGAAAGCATACCTATTTGTCACCATGCTTTGGAACACATAATCATGCCTGTTCAGAGAGACAATTTTTCCCCCACCCCCTAACACACACACACACACACACACACACATTTGTCTATTTGGATACTTAATGATCAAATCAGATTTACACAATTGATGTTAGAGCATTCCAGATGTTATTGCTCTCTTTTCTTCACTTCTCTGGAGATAATTGTGTTCATGTCCCATCACCAGGAGAGCACCGTGAAAGTGATCTGGGCCTACCACCATGAAGACGTGGGAGAAGACGGTCCCAAGTACCACAACTCCAATCGTGGCACCAAGAGCCTGCGGCTGCTGAATCCTGAGAAAGCCAATGTGTTGCCTACAGCCGTACCGTACTTTGAGCTGGTAAATCAGAACGTAAGTTTCTTCAGGTTTTAGGACTGTAGGAGTGGGATTATTGAAAGTGTATGAGTTTTTACTTAACCTCTTGTCAAGAGAATGTGACTTTGTGTTCTCCTTTCCTTTTTATTAAGACAGGTCCCTGTCCCAAACAAAGGTACAACATATTGGTGCCAAATGTTTAAGATTCCTGTGTTTCAGGAAAAGCATCATGTAATAAAGGTATGTGACTCACTCATAGGCTAAACTTAATTTGTTTGAATGGAGTAGAACTTGTTCTAAAAATGAAAATGGTAAAATATGCCTAGAAATGATATGGAAGTTATTTAGAGAACAAAGAACTGGCTTAACCTGACACGTATACTGTCTTGAGAGACACCAAATTTAAGGAGGATTTAAGTAGTTAGTCTTCTGGCTTTTTGCCCCTAGTTTTACATGTTAACGGTAAAAGTTTTGGGATGTATTTGAACAGCTCTAGTTTATCTTAGACAACACTTCTGAAATTTGAATTGTTGGAATTAGAATTTAAAATTATATATATATATATATATATATATATATATATATATACACACACACACACACATTGGTAAATTGTATCCAGGAAGGTTACAATCCCTACCAAAATTGTTTGAGAATATCTGTCATTGAAAATACTGAAAATTCTCAGAAAGATAATAGTTATAGTATTTTTGAAAGTAGGAAAACAAGAAAATTTGTGAATTTATACAAAAGATTAAAAATACAGAATTGTGTAGTAAATAAGCCCAGTTTGCCTGTGGCATATAATCTCCCCCTCCCCCGCCCCTCCACTCCCTCAGAGATAGCTCTCCCAAAACTTTTGCCTGTAGTTGGTGAATGAACAAGTATTTAAAAACCCTCACAGGTCCGTGGCTCTGTGCTAGGTAACTATTTGGCTGTTCCACGGTGGCTGAAGATATCCATGGTCTCAACTCAACTGAGATTGTAGGAGTTAGGACCAAGACATAGGAAGGACTAAGATAGAACGAAATAGTGCATATCAAACACTGTAAACATTTGGGAGGCCAGACATTGCCAACTTTTTGCCAGTCCTCAGATTGGGTAATGAAATAGTGTGGATGTGAGAAAGGACCAAACTTGTCGATTCTGGAATCTAGAGGGAAATATATAGGTAGGATTCGCAGGTTGACTCTTTAATTAACCGTATCTCAGGTAATTGGCTCTGAGGTAATGTGCGTTGTAGGATCTGATTTCTTCATCTGCAAAAGGTGGTCAGTCCTAACACTTTCCCTACCAACCTCAAAGCATTTTTGGTAGAAATGGAAATACTGAGTGTATTTTAAGAAATGACATAAATTTGTCATTTTCTGATATATATTAGTCCAGTGGCACATACCTGCTTTTCGTTTACAGAATGATTCATAACTACTTAGAGAAGCAAGAAGAGCAGGTTGAGAAATGTTTACTGAATTAGTAAGTTGATCTAAATATTTGTAGAATATTTTTGCAATCAGGAGACAGCATTAATAGGACTGCAGATGAGTCACTTACCTCTGTGCAATGTAATTTTCTGTTTCTTACTTGTAAAAAAGAAATGCAGATTCTACCTTTACATACTAATACAGTGCCTAAGTTCAAGAAAAAATTTTCTCAGAAAAGAGATTGCTATAGTTATACAGTGTGGGGCAAAAGTAGACTTACGGTTGTGAATATGCAAAACACAGAACGTATTCTTGTATTATTATTTATTAATTATTGTGCTATTTTCCATATGAATGACTATAAACATACTTTTGCCCCACTCTTTATAAACTGTGAGCATATACTACTGTGTGTCATTTGCAGTAAATTTAATTGTTTTTTAAATTTAACCTATAAAAAACAATAGGTTCATAAATAAGAACAATAGGTCCTTGATTCATTTGATAGGATGAAAAGCCCTTAATCACTTATACTAATTCATTTTTATCCTTTCATTATTAATGCTAATGATTCAGTTGAATGAAATAAAAATAATTCTCTACATTTCAGGGAGCATGTATATTCTGACCATCCACGTAGAACATTTGCTTGGGATCTCATCTAAGAATTTTTAGTAGAATTCCCTTGACAAGCACATCCTAGTAATACTCAGATATGTAGGTTTCTCAATGAAAGGGTGTGCTTAGAATTAAGTATTTTTTGGTCTACCTTGCTGTCTTTACTAGATATCAAGAGGTCTCACAGTGACTTGAGAGGCTTTGGAGCATCTTTTGCAGTGTTTGGAAGTCTATAAAAGGGCAGAAGTTCTTTACCACAGCAAAGGGGACTTGAGGGAAGGGTAACAGTTCAGAGACAAGCTTTCATTTTTGCAGGGCAGAGGGTTGGTGGCCAGATTTTAAAATTTTGCTATTATCCCAATACTACTTATAATAAATTCCTGAGCTTGTTCAACCCTAAAATATCTTAAAGTTCATTAAGTATTATGAAACATTTAATTTAAAAATGAATTAAAGTAGAATAATATACAAAAAGACCAAGAAGGTTTACTGGAAAAGTAAATTCCAACATTTAGGTTGTATAACTTTTGAGTTTTAACTTGTAGCCTATGGCAGTTGACAATAATTTTAATGAATTTCTATAGTAAAATTCATAGACTCAGGACTTAAGAACTTATCTCATTTTCATTCCCTTTTCCTTAGCAGAGATGATCTCTAAAATATAAGAAAAGTTTATCTTTTTCATAGAATCAAAAACTCCTGTTTTGAAAAGCCATTCGCTAAATTTTAATTATTCCATAGTTTATGTCTTACAAACAGCTATATCCAAAAGCCTCCATCCTTCCCTGCTACAAACCAAGGTACTTTCTCAGAAAAAAGAATATACGGTAGTTTTCATATTGTATTATGTTGTATGTCATTTGAAGTGAGTTTTAAGTACATATTCATGTGAAAAATTAGTTTTATTGTCTGCACTCTATTTCAAACCAAGGAAAAGTTTGTAATTGCAGTTTAATGTTGATAGTACACTTTGTGGTTGTAATAATAATTATAAAGATAAGTAGATTTAAAAAATCAGTGTCTTGCTCATGAATATATTTAATGAAATGACTAAAATTCAAAATATTCATTAATTACATTACTAATTTAAATTTTAATCATGTAATGATATAAATATTTACTACTAAAAGTATGATATATAGTAAATATTATCTAAAATTACAAAATGACAAATATAAATACTTACATCTTCACTAAAGATGGTATTATAATAAAAATCATTGGTGGTTTCTATTTACTTGTGATTCCAGTTTTTTATTTGTATTTTGATCTTGTACAAATGTTTAAAATTGTGACTTGAAAATGTTTGTATCATCAGATGACAGCACAGACCACTTGCACACAGATATAGAAAATTCTTGGTAATTTATATTAAAACCACACTTATCCTAAGAGCTCATCTCTGTCTCTCTGTCTTGAGATCCACTATGCAGCTGATTTCTTCAGACGCAATAAACATGGCCCAAGTTACTTTTGCCAAATAGGGGACTTTCTCCTAAATTTAAAATTTTGGAGGGAAGTGATTATTTCCACTTTCTTTAGTAATTATTATTATCACCTACCAGTAAGGATTGGGTATACTCTGATAGAAGCTGGAGTTATCAATTTGTTTAACACACTCCTTTTTTTGAAGATAATTGTCAGGAAATTCTCATAGATAAATTAAACACCCAACTCATCTGTTTAAACATATGTCCTACTTAATAATAATAAATAGTTGTTCATGGCCTATGATGTTAAAGAGGGCAAAAGGAAAAATAGCCAGACTGAATCATCATTTCTTAGTCATTTCTTCCTAACGGACCAGATTCATGGTAAGAAGGTGGGTTCTTCATCCCAAAGAGCCAGGTTTGAATCCTTTTCTTTATTAGTTGTTTAACTGTGGAAAGGTAACTGTCTTCCACAGCTTAACTTTGTCACTTAAATGGTAATGGTACCTTCCTTACATGATTGTTTATACTGAAGAATAAGCATCAGTTCTTTTTTTTTTTTAATTGTTAATACTAAGCACAGTATCTGACACATAGAAAGCTCTTAATAAGTCCAACTATTATTATTAGGCCATTTGTTTCCAGTGTTGCATGCTGAATGATTTTTCATTGAGAACTATTATTTAGTGAGGAGGCCCAGAAGAGGATAGAGCATTGTGCAAAAAGGTTGACCATTACTGAGTTTTAAGACAGGGTTACTTTTGTCTGTTGTGCTCTCGGGAAAATTATTTATTTTCCTGAACCTCAGTTTTTCTCATCTGGAAAATGGGCATAATAGTTCTTACCCAATAAAGTTCTTATGACTACTAAGTGAATCAAAGGAGTTTAATGTTGTAAGTATTTAGAACAGTGTCTGGTACGCAGTGTTTGTTAAATAAGGTAATTAAATTAAGTTATGTAAATCACTAACAATACACAATTGTTAATCTGTTGATCACCTTGTTGGATCTCTGGTTGCTGAGGAATTCCAAACAAGCCAATACTTTTCAGACAGTCAGAGTTTCAAATAAAACCTCGTATGTCACTCATTTCATGTAGGGAGATCATTTTGAGAATGACCTGTTGTAGAGAAATCTGAAGTTGAGGTGAACAAATACTGTCAATCATCCTCATCAATAGATGCAGGAAGGAAAGAAATTGCAGGAAAGAAAAAAAATCGCTATGCTTTCTACTTGCTACTGAGCAGAACATTTTTCTTGCCACAAAATTAGATGCTACTATTCTTTTCTGTTGGTGACATTCATAAATCTGAATGATTTAATTGGGGAATGGTTCCTAAAACAAGGAAATCTAAGCATTATTGTCATTGAATAACCATGAAATGTCCTTAAAGCAGGGTACTGTATATCCATGAAATAGTCATTCAAAAATTGATTTTCCTATACTAGACACATAGTATGAACAGTTGACTTGTATGCTTATGTTAAATGGGCATTGCAGCCTTGCCCAGTTTCTCTACTTTTTACTAAATTGACACCATCAAATGCCAAATTTTAACATTGACACATTCTGAAATGTCAAGTATGTGAGAGGGTTTCTATTTCTGAAAATGTGTAAGATTTCAGGGTTAAACTTAGTAAGTTGTGGGAATTCTAAATTTCAGACTACATGATTTGACAACTGTTAGAATTTTCTCTTTCTGTCAGTATATCTTCTTCCTGTCCACCCCCATGAAACATTGCAAAATACATTTTAATTGATGTGCTTTTCC